TTATGTATATATTATATAAATTTATTTTATATTTATTAAATATATGGTATTTATATTATAAAACAGAATATAAAAAATATTAATAATAATAATTTTTTTATTTATATTTTTATATATTAATTATTAAAATTATGTAGCGAGGTGATTATCACATCACAACCTACCACGTAATATTCAAATCACAACTTCGCTTCGCTAAGGAGCATTTATCTTATAGTGAAAAAAAGCATTTTATATTAGGTATATTTAAGGTATGTTCTCATTTCTTGATGATGTTGATGATGTTGAGGTTTATACCTTAAGGGTACAAACTGAAATGTTCAAATTTCAATTATAATATATGAAACATGGATAAATAACTTAGAAATCACAAAACCTTCAAACATTACTTGTAAAGAAATATTGTTTTAAAATATTCAAGGAATATTTGATGTTGTTTTTGTTCGTTGGAATATCAATGGAACTATGGGCTCTACAGTCTCAGCATACACCTTAAAATAAGTAACTTTAGTGAAACAATTAAATCATCAGTCATTGTTGTTACAAGAACTGCCACTAGTTAAATACTCACTTCATCATTTGAAACATCTTCATCCAGCACAGCATCAAAAAAGAACCCGTGTTTCTCAACATATCCTGTCAAGTCAACCCGTGTTTCAAGGTTGGGGCTTGAAGGATTTTCTTCTTAGAATGACAAAAATAACAGTATGAAAATATGAATGAATCAGTGGATGTTTGTAGAATACCAGGTTAAAATATGAATGAAAATATGTTTGTAAAATATATATTCTACAAATTAGCATGTAAAGATAATGAGCAAGTTAAAATGGAAAATATTTCTCTTAGATCAACTTTGCAGTAACTGTGATAAATTTTGATAGCAAGGAATTAAGGTTCATGACTTATTTTATATATATTTCATGTTGAATGTAATATAACTATATTCTTATTTTACAGCATAGATGTATGTTGCTGTAATGTATGGTTCCGTTTTTCCGTTGAATAGATATATTCTTACGTAAGAATAATAAACAAGAAGAATAGATCAGTTGGTAGAAAAACTTTTACCTCAATTCAAAAGGGACGAGTTAATTCTCCTTGGCAACATATTTTGGGTTATATTTCATTATAATTATAATTTAATAATTTTAGTAAAATATATTATTATTAAATAATATAAAAATGAAATAAAAGAATAAAATATTTTAGTAAAAAATGTAATTTTAATTTAAAAAAATTCATTATAATTATAATTTAATAGTTCTAATAAAATATATTATATTAAATAATATAAAAATAAAATAAAAGAATAAAATATTTTAGTAAAAAAATGTAATTTTAAATAAATAAAATTCCACTTATATACAAAAAGGAATCTTTGGTGAAATAATGTGCTCCGTGGCTTAGCTGATGAAATTTGGGTATTACGAGGGAGTCACAAATTTTTTTAACGGGACAAAACTAAAAATTGCTACATTGATAAGGATTATGATACATTTAACTCTTTTTATATTAAAAATTAAATACTTTTCACCACGGTCTAAAGTAGAAATTATTGTGAAAAGTACCTATATTTTATTACGGTTAGTTTATGTAATCGTGGTTTAAAGTATAACATATATTTAAGAGAAAGTTTGCACTTTCAGGACAGAACATACGCTCTCTCAAAATGATATCCTAATACTCTCTTATGCCTTTTCATTACGTCATAAACGGTCTATATCATTTTTTCACAAAACTCCAATACATATTCTCTATCTCTTATAGATCAAGGAAATGGTCAAGAAAAAGTGTTAGACACAACTCATTTCTCTCCCTTCATCTTCACATTTCAGGTACGTGAGACTTTTCTACATTTTATTTTATCGTTGATTTTGCTTTTGTTATTATATGTTGTATGTTGTTTATGATTTAGTTTTTGATGATATATAGTGTATGTTGTTTAAGTTATGTTGTTGTTGTTGATAAAAGTTGTATGTCGTTGATGGTTTAATTTTTGTTGATATATATTGTATGTTGTTGTTGATTAAACTTTTTTGTTTTTGTTGATTTAGTTTTTATTGTTTTACGTTGTATTTTATTTAAGGTTTGTTGATAAAAGTTAGTGTTATTGATGATTTACTTTTTGTTGATATATGTTGTTGATGATTATTTAAATGTTTATGTTGTTGTTCATAAAAGTTGGATGTTGTTGAAGGTTTAGTTTTTGTTGATATATGTTGTTGATGATGATTTATATATTGTACTTTGTTGTTGATAAAAGTTGATGTTGTTGATGATGATTTATATGTTGTATGTTGTTGGTTTTTAATAATATACTTTGTACATTACAACTTTCACTAGATGAATTTATTATGTTATATGTGGTTTGAGAGTTTTACCAACTCGTCACTAACTAAATAACCTTTCTAATTGAATTAGAAATTTATAATATAAAAAATTGTTATGTTAGAAAATAACTTACATTGATCAAAATTTTTTCGAGCTTTCTTCCTTCAATTCTACGTATCTATCTCCCTCTTTAAGAGTTCAAATTTAGTTTCATGTTTGTAGCTCTTCAATCAACGCTTTCTTCTTTACTAGTTCAATGAACTAGTAAATAATGAAGTGTTGGTTGAAGAGTCACAAACATTGAACCTAATTCTAACACTAATAAAATGGGCGAGATAAAGAGAATGAAAGGAAAAAAGTTTGAAAAATATTTGTCATTATAACTTGTTATTCTAATATAACTAAATTCTTCAAATTATTAATTTTTATATCACATTGAAAGGTTATTTGTTTAGTGAGTAGTTGGTGAAATAAGCATTTCACATATGTTATAATAAACTCAAAAGAACATATCACCACGATTAAAAGATAAAATCGTATGAAAAGTTGTGCAATGAGTCTTTCACTACTACTAGAAAGAAAAACTATGGTGAAAAGGTGCAAAAACAACTAAAAAACTATCCTGAGACTCGAACCTCTTACCTATATCTTTTATCACGACTATCATAAGAAACCCTAATGATAAGTAGAGCGCTATTATGCTTTTACCATGGATTCCATACAGTGGTGGTAAAAAGTGTACTTACTACCATACTCTACTTTATCAAGGTCTTTCAATTATGGTTATATCCTTCATCCAACCGAGGTTAAATATACTTTCTGTAGTAGTGAATTCTGCATGTACAATAACAAGGTAAAGTTTTTTATTGAAAAATTTCTATATGAGATTTGAGATTTAATGGTAAGAGTTTTAGTTCTTGCTTTGGAGTTTATTTTTGAATGTATGCTAAAATGGTCTCCATTAACACTTATAAACTTTGGATTTGAATGGTAGAGTTTTCATCAATCAATTTCCTATACGTTTTAGCTTTTCCATTGTTACTTTTTCTTATTAGTACTCCTTTCAAACATGCTTCCAATCTGTCTGGTGGAGTTGATTTAAAGGAGAATTCCTTAACACAATGATCTATTAAATCAAGCATGCGTCAAGAATCCTCAATGGAAACGCTAACGCTATTCATGAGGTTAGACAATATAAATTCAATATCTTCATCCTCCACTTTAAAAGCAAGTCTACCATGTTTTACATCGATAATCGCTCCCACAATAGCAATGAAATGTCACCCTAAGAGAATTGGGACTTGAGAGTCCTCTTCCATTAATTAGGAAGTTTTACTGGGAGGAAAATATTTAGCAAGAATGAAAATTTTTAATCGATTCATGTTATGATGGAATCAGAGGGTAGTGAATGTAGCCAATCTATAACTATATCCTTTAGTCGAAAAGTATTTTTAAGAAAGACTCTTTTGCTTGTGTGTCATTTGAAACTCATTGTGTTTTCCGTTCTCTTTTTTAATCTTATCTTTGTATGGCTGCCACAGGAGAAATAGTAGTTATAGTATCTCAAATTGTACGTATAGAATAACAACTTGAAACATTATTTTCTGGAACATGGAACATGGATACCAGTCTAAACATGCTAAAACAAATACACTGCAGAAATAAAACACATAGAATGTCGGTATTGAAATAAGATCTACAACTTAGATATCCTTTTGCTTCCCCTTCCCTCATACCTGTCCATATGGAAATAAATACAACAATATAAGGTGAGATAATAATCTCAGTGAATCCCTATCTAAAACCTTGACCCGTCTAAATCCCAAGGTTTGCTTGATACACAATATGGGACAGATAATCGATACTTGTGGACTTAACTTGATTACATGATACCCAACATCTCCACCAATTTGGGTAGGGGTGCCCACTGCATTCCCCCTACTGGCTCAATTGGAAACCTATACCAGACCCTAAAACTAACTCATAATGAGAATACCATATCATGTGATGGTATCGGGTGACCACCTCACCCAACAACTGAATCAAGTGGTAACATCCATACGCACATGACTGAATCATCAGGGTAAGTACATACTCTCCCATGGATAGATCAATATATTTGTCAATGGAAACCTCACAATATTGGACATGTGACTCCACACACAAGAGGAACTGAATTGTGTGTTTCAGTAAAACAGTTACTTGAAAAACTTTTAGGATCTTTTTCAGTGTTAATAATGCTAAAAGTAAAAGTTAAGGGAAGACAGAACACACAACAAATTATATAGGTTCAGTCAAGAAGACTTGGTCCTGTCCCCAAAATTTGATATTGAGAGTATCCAATAAACTTAATATCTTTTAGTAGTTTGAACTCTCGAACCCTCTTATACAAGAAACATAAAATTTTTGGTTAACTTCCAATCAAATAGCAACCAACGAGAGAAGCAGTTAGTCTTCCTTCTAAACAACAGTTTGAAGCGGTTAGTCTTTTTCTTAACAGCAACTTGAAATGGTTATTCTCCAAGTTAAACCGAGATTTTATATAATCAATAGAAGATTTTATAACGGGATGAGCTCACAAAACAAACTGGGGTTTTGACAAGATGACCACGGTATAGTTGTTTCACAGTCTAGCAAATGCTCAAGGTATTCAAGTCGTGGTGAATATTATGACTACTACTCTTGCACCTGCTTCTCAGGCGACCACTGATCCTGCTCTGGCCCCTTCTGCTGCCCCGACTATAGAGACTTCATCTTCTACTCTCGAGGTGGATCAACTTGTAGATGTTTGGTAACTCAGAAAGTATTGCATTTCCGACTTGGTTCACATGAATATTTGAGTCATTTTCCTTTCCTTTTTATACTATTATGCTCGTACATTGTCTCTATTTCAGATATTCAAGTTGTAGGAGCAATCAGGCGAAGAAATGTTGCAAAACTGAGAAAATCTGAGCAAAAATACCCTTCTTCACTAATATGACGACTATCCTAAAGGCATGACACACGTCATGATGTGGCAAGGTCAAAGGCGTCAGCATAAAAGACATAATTAGTAGAAACTGAGTGACAGGTGGATGACGGGTAGGGCGTCACCCAGCTGATGCCTATCATGGACTTAAAATGCAGAAATTTTGCCCTGTTCAGTTTGAGGCTTTCTTTCACTCTCCACCTATTTCTCCACTATCTTTCACATGTTTTGAATCACTTTGAATGAGATATAACTTTATAAATAGGTCTTTTAGAATTCAGTTTCAACATTCAAGTTTTTAGAATTTATTTTAAGCAGAAAGTTCAGTCTTGTAAAAGCATTTATTTTTCACATTAAGTGATAAATGCACCTTAGAGTTGGATTCTGCAAATTTCCATTATACATTTGGATCGTTCGAGTTGTAATCTTTCCGACATTAAATTTTCCAGAGTTTTATTCAAAGATTATTCAGTACCTATTTTGGAGCTCTTTTCTATTTATTACGTATTATTCACTGTATTATCAAGTTCCACACTTTACTGTTACTTTAATTGTTTACCTTGCATGCGCCTCTTTATTATATTAATATAATTGATATGCGGAGAATATTAGATTTAAAATTCATTTACTGTTTCCGTTTTGTTTGTAACATGTCTGGCTAAAATTTTAGAGCCCGAAATGTGAGGTTCATCGGATTGACGACACTCACAATTAAGTAGTAAATATTATGATTGAATTGAGATTATTTTAAGGACTGATTTTTAATATGTTTTTAATTAAAATGTTTACTGTGAAAGCATAACTTAGAGATATTAGTTTCAATTCAAAAGAACGGAATCTGTGTCCGACTTAGATAAAATAATCAAATTTTAATTATAAGCACTGTAAAAGCATCTCTTAATTAATTTGAAAAAAATAACCATTTTCAAAAATGGATTTTAAGAACATAAACGAACACGTAAAAGCTAGTGTTTATGCGATTAAAATCCGATATTAAACGATGTGAAAACGGTAATACCTTTAAACTTATTTTTCACTTTAAGATTTCTTTTCGACTAATCATAAGTAATTAATTTTCAATAATGAAGTTTTTCACTTTAACAACGGTGAGCACACGAAAGCGGCAGTATAGATTTTAGGCTAAAACTCGGTTTCGATTGTGCGAAAGCAAATAGTTCAATTAAATCAATTATTTTATTATGAAAAAACATTATCTCAATTTAGTTATAAAAAATACAACTTTGTGAGTGTTGTTGGTCAATGAGAGTCACATTTCGGTCTCCGTCTTTATATTAATTCTTTAAGCCAACTTATTTTAGTTCTCTTGCATCCAAAACTATTGTTCATAGTCTTAGATTTACATAGTAACGATAGATAACAATACATTTTTTTACATTACTACGATATTTATGTGCACTTGCAGAGCTATCAATGTTGCAGCCACTTTACCCATGGAGAAGCCAAATCCGCCTCAAGTTTCAACAAAGAGGGTCTAGGGTGAAGATTAACAATCCCCCCGGGATGAGGATTCTCCAAAACAAATTCATGACTCTGAGGGTGGTGCTTCTGGGAGGTAACCGCCTTCGTAAAGATGTTGGATATCTTCTCTTTCCAGACTTTCTTGCACTCCTGATGAGGCTGCTACTACTATTTTGATATCAGATTTATCCCTCGTCCATAATCTTTATGATGGGGAAAAGATGGAACTCTTCTCCTAGCTTACCCATAATACGTTCAAGTTTTCTTCTATATTCATTATTGTCTCTGATGGCCGGAGATACATATTGGCCTCGGGTAATCCCACCAAATAAAGAGATACTTGGAAAGGGAAATGTGAAACTGCATAATTGAGGTGCTCTAATCTCCATTAGGAGCTTGTTGCACCGCATGAGGAGGATAAAAATCCACAACTCTCCTTCTACTCTGGTTGCTCGGGTGACTAAGTTGGATGATGCCCTTAAAGAGGCAAAGAAGCGATATCAGGATGCTTCTGATTCTGTTAAGGAGAAAACTCGTCAGGTGGAGGAACATCAAAAATCCCTTCCTCAGGAGATCGAGGCTCGTGCCAAAGATCCCCAAGACGAGGTGGCGGATATGAAGCATGCGCTCTGTGATTCTGTTCAGTAGACTATAGAGGTTATACTCGAGGTCCATGATAGAGTTATGAAATCGGCAAGGAGGTTCTGTCCCGACGCCATAATTTCTTCCGAGAAGTTGGACCCATTTCAATTCGCTCTCGGGTTGATTTAGGAGGATGGTATCGATACCTCGTATCCAAGAGTTTCCACTTGATTTTTCCTTTTCCTTGTATCATTTTATTTCCTGCAATGATTCACCAGTTTTCCATAGATGTATCAACATCTAATATTTAATGGAAATATTTTACCTTGATGATTCAAATGTTATTAACTTTAGATCTTTGAGCTTGTCTTTGCTTTATCATTGTCGTTGTTTATGACTTATTATAACTTTTGGGCTTGCTCTTTTACTCTGCAAATTTTATTTGTTTAGGTCAGACCCCCATCGTCCATCTTTTATGGAGGGATATATGTTTTGGGTGTGAGAAACCTAACTGGTTGCTTTGTGAAGGAAACATTGTATTTCATCGTAGTAAAGTGGCACACGTACCTATTGAGTTTTCATTCTTTTGTGATCTGCAACATAGTGCATTGAATGATATTAGCTACCATTTTTGCTGTTGTACTTGCTCGCTAAATTTAGAGTTTGTTGTAGTAGTATATTGATTTGTATATTATATTTGGCGAGTTGATTTTGATCCCTAGGATGAGGCTCGAGATTGACAAAATTGATTTAATATGGTCGTATCTTTATATTGTGTTCCATGTTATAGAGGACCATTTCTCGATCAAGGATATGATCCTCGTCCCTGTCCCCGAATCTTGGCTCAGATCGAGTTAGACATCTCTAGACTCCACCACATACGCCCTTGGATTGGCTAGCTCCAAAAGAGGGTACGCCATCTATGTATAAATGTGTTTAGTAAGCCCCATATGAGAAGTCACGTGAGGTATGCATTTAAGCCGTATCAGAATTGTAGAAATGAGTTTAGTTTGTTTTGTATACACGATCAAGCATGCAATGCATTTAAGTTGTGTCAAAGTCGCGGAAATGTGATAAGTCTGTATTAGATATGCATTCATGCAAACAATGCGTTTAAGTCATATAAGAATTACATAAATGGGTTAAGTTTGTATCAGATAGGTTGTTATGCATTTCATCTTCATTACCCCTGTCTTGAGCACTCTAGCAGAAAGAGAGACAAAGAAACATACAATAGAGGAAGAACGAGAAGATGTATATATATATATATATATATATATATATATATATATATATATATATATATATATATATATATATATATATATATATATATATATATATATATATATATATATATATATATATATATATATATATATATATTGAATTGAATTAGTTATAAAGGGATGGTGGAATATTTAGATAGATAGACCTTCAATTGCGACTTTGTATGGTTGGACGTTGTTCAGAGTCTTTGGTATTTGTCCTTTTTCGGAATTCCGGGGTGAAAGATCCTTCTTCGGGGATCCAGAGTAAGAGACCTTCCTTTAGGGTTATAGCGTGAGCCTCTTTTCTTATAGATGTCTTCTTTTATTGGACTAGGTGTTGAAACACCCTTTTCATATTTTTTTGTCGACTTATAGCTGGTGGTCAGATTCACCAGAATTGTAGATGAGAGACAGCTACTAAAATTCTTAGGCTTGCATAATTTCTCAAACTAATGCTTTGGCGAGGTTATTTCTAATCATCGGGATCGAGACCTCTCCACTCTTTTCTTTTTCAGAAGTGGGTATCTATCTCAAGTAGCTTACAAGTTTTTGCGGTCATTCTATGGTAATCCAGTCTGGTGGTCGACTTTTCTTGGAATCGGCAAGGTAGTCAGATATGGAAGGCATTCCTTGAGAGACTTGCATACCCGTCCTATGTGGGAGCAGATTGGACAACCCTTCCTTATGTTCCTTTCCTTCGGGAAGGAGATACCATTCGGGAGTCGAGATTATGGCCGGCTGATCCTTTTATAACCACATGATTATGGTCAACCAATCCTTTTATAACCAAAGTCTATGGTGCCTTCTCTATGATTGAATGACAGATCAGTAACATTCACTTTTGTTAGACCGACCCCAGGTATTTTATAGTTAGATTATCCAACCTAGGAAACCACATTCAGAGAATATTGTTTACGAATATCCTCGTCAAGACCTCAACTCTGGTGGAATTGTTGTGCTTACTTTGGAACCAATATTTTAGTCCGTATGCCCCCTATTTCTTAAGCAGTTTCCCTGTACCGACCCTTCTGGTAAGGACCAGATCAAGTGGTAGGGAAAATACAAACCTGGTCCGAGGAGGGATTCTCCCTCGGTCGGAAATCCTTTGGCACCCATAACGGGGCCTCGATACTTGAATCTCACCTCGCTTTAACTATGAACTTGTAGTATCTTCGACATCGTCTTGGTAATACCCTAATAATAGGGAAGAGTGAGGGCGACATTAGATCATAAGGTAAATCGTGAATATTCGACATGAGCCTTCATGGAAGTTATCTTCAAACCCCAACGCAAACCTAGATCTGAATTTGAGACCCTTTTTTTCTGCTACCTTGTGGAGTTCTCGAGAGAATATGAGATCTCGAATTTTGAAGAATCGTAATCGAAACAATGATTGATTTAATCGATTGTAGCAAACATCTACGCTCGATTTTGAATGTTATCGATTTCTGAGAGGAAATTATGAATGACAGAGACAGAAAATGAATGATAATTCGTTGAACTCCTAGGAACCGAAACTCGATTCGCTTTTGATAAAATTTGAAATTATGGAAATTGTAGGAATCAGAAGTCGATTCCCACATATGGCGCCATTGTTTCATCCGGGAACCAAAATTGAATGTAGTCGGAAAACTGATGATCTTAAACAATGGCTCTGATCCCTTTATGGTGTCGTGGGGTGGGTCTATATGGTTAGCAATCCACCAGGTCAGTTCAGGATCAAAAAGAGTGTAGTGAAAAGTGGAAATCAAAGATTTTATATTGCTCTTAGTGCGTGAACAAATTTATACTTTAGGTCAATTTGAGTGAATTTGAGGTGGATTAGACATTTGACTGATAATAGGGAAGGGTGAGGGTGGCGTTAGATCAAAAGGTAAATCGTGAATATTCGACATGAGTCTTCATGGAAGTTATCTTCAAACCCCAACGCAAACCTAGATCTGGATTTGAGACCCTTTTTTTGCTACCTTGTGGAGTTCTCGAGACAATATGAGATTTGGAAGTTTGAAGAATCGTAATCGAAACAGTGATTGATTTAATCGATTGTAGCAGACATCTACGTTCGATTTTGAATGTTATCGATTTCTGAGAGGAAGATGTGAATGACGGAGTCAGAAAACGAATGATAATTCGTTGAAAGCCTAGGAATCGAAACTCGATTCGCTTTTGATAAAATTTGAAATTATGGAAATTGTAGGAATCAAAAGTCGATTCCCACATATGGCACCATTGTTTCATTCGGGAACCAAAAATGAATGTATTCGGAAAACTGATGATCTTAAACAACGACTCTAATCCCTTTATGGTGCCGTGGAGTGGGTCTATATGGTTAGTAATCCACCAAGTCAGTTCAAAATTCAAAAAGAGTGTAGTGAAAAGTGGAAATCAAAGATTTTATGTTGCTCTTAGTGTGTGAACAAGTTTATACTTTAGGTCAATTTGAGTGAATTTGAAGTGGATTAGACATTAGATTGATCTAGAATATATATATATATATATATATATATATATATATATATATATATATATATATATATATATATATATATATATATATATATATATATATATATATATATATATATATATTCTATGTCATCGAATTACTTTAAAATTAACATTATATGAAAGTATATTTTTAATATTAAACTTTATGTATTTTGATGGCATAGGAAATCCTTATATATTATTCTCAAATTTTATACGATAATCTATATCATAATATCTTTCAATTCAATGATTAATTTTAAAATATTTATTCAATGTGAAGTTATTGAGCGAGTGTAACTCATATATATATATATATATATATATATATATATATATATATATATATATATATATATATATATATATATATATATATATATATATATATATATATATATATATATATATATATATATATATATATATATATATATAAAGTTTAATAAAATATTCACTTTACATTTAGTATTATACTTTTTTATTATATATCTAACATAGTATTTAGTTATATACTATTTTAATATATATTCACTAGTGCATACAAGACTTTTTACACTGGATGAAAAATACATTTTACATCGGGTCTAGGTCTGATGTAAATCCAAGTGATGTAGTAAATCAAATATATTTTACATCGGACAACAACCCGACCTACCACATCGGTTGGATGTTAGGTCTGATGTGCAAAAAAAATAATTTTTAAAATTAAAAATATATATGCAATATTTTACATCGGTTGCCTAACTGGCCCGATGTAATATATAGATTTTAACATCGGTTTCCTCAATAGCCCGATGTAATATATAACTTTTAACATCGGTTGCCTCAATAGCACGATGTAATATGTTTGCTTTTTTTAGCGGAATCGAGGTGGATTCCCTGTCATTTTTGTTATACCTAATTTTTCATATTTTTTCAACATCACACATACCACATTTAGGTCGCTATTTTTTCATATTTTTACCACATCACACAGACCACATTTAGGTCGCTATTTTCATATTTTTCTAACCAGTGAAGGGTAATTTAATTATATCAAATAACTAGGATGCACATATATATTCTTCAAAGTGAACAATTGATTTATAAAGTACTTATCTAGGATACACACAGGTGTATAAAATTATAAGGAAGTTTACACACGGTGGACTACTACAACAACAAAACTAGTGAAATTATACAAAAATATCCAACCATTTATAAGTCATTTCCCGCACTTGAAATACCAACATGCAATCCACAAGAAGATGAGTTGTAGCTTCAGTAGACAACACTAAAATCACATTTACTAACAATAAATAATAA